CTACGATGCCGTTCCGGAGCGCAAAGACGACGCCTGTGGTGCGTCGCACTGTCTTTCGGTGGCCGCTCTAGAAGAAGGTGTAGCCGGCACCCACCTCCTAGAGTTGGCCTTTTTGGAGTAGCGGGTCTAACTGAGAGAAGTGATATTCCAATTGTAATGCGCCAGTTCTCAAGCGACCAGCGTCGTCCGCTATACCGGCCGGTTTCTCGGATGGAAGCGAATATGCAAATCATAGGTTCTGGTTGTAAAGAAGATGAACACACGACCTTTGGGACAGTAGGTGTATTAGCCTAAGCTTTCGGTCTCGTACGAGAGGCCATCGTCAAAGGCTGTGAGAATGCGACGTCAAATGAACAGTTTTTATAGTCAAGCCACAAAGGGGGGGGGATAGGAGTGCAGGCGGTGGTGTTCGCGATAAGCCGAGTCCATGCCGTCTCACGGCGGCGCGACTGCGTGCACCCTTGGCTGGGAGTTGGGTCTCGCCTCTTGGCTGCGGGAATGGAGCGCGTGAGGGCAGATGGGTATGTCAACGTGTCCGTCGATAGAGCTGGTGTCAGATGTCCAGGCCTCCAGCAGTTTGCGCCCTGTCTGGCTGACATGCGCCACTATCCGCGGGTTATCTAAAAGTAAACGAATATTCCAACTGCCAGAATGAACAGAGTCTATTTAGCAGCCTGCGGGGTGGGGTTGAGGGATGAGGACGAGTGTTGTTATTTATTCTGTTGTTTCGACCGCGATGTTTAGCATTTACGAGTCACGGTATGCCTGCAGGCTGCCTGATTTCCGAACATCTGGTTAGAGTACTTATTCCAATTCCTTTTCTCATGGGAGAGTAGGCAGTTCTATCCCTAAATCAGTCAGTATATTTGGAGTAAATGACACAAGCACTTAAAACTCCACTTAAACGGTACAAGTGGGCATGAAAAGTGGTCAAGTTGCAAAAGTTTTTACATGTTGCTTTAGTGTGTAGAATTCGCAAAACTAATGACAAAACATAGATGTTGAAGACGTGCAGCATTTTCGAAATAGCGACAAAAACACGTTCACCGCATTTGCATTGTGAACTTTCATCTGGGTCAAGGTTGATGAACACAAAAGGATCTGTTGAAATCATGTTAGTAGTATGTTGATAGTTATTTCACTAATCCATTACATGGGGCTTGGGGGAGCTAGGTTGCCTTTTAACAGGTGATTATCCAGATGTTTTTTGAACACACTCATGGTAGGGGAATTTACAACATGCGTCGGTAAAGGATTCTATTTGCGAATGATTTATATGAGAAAAAGGAGGAGCGTTGATTGGTGTGGCGTGATCCCTTTTTAAGCTGGCAATCGTGTTGTCTGAGATAAGTCTCCGGTGTCATTTCGGAAAGAGTTCCCCAGGTAGCATCCAGATCAAGCCATCTTAGCAACTAAAACGTTGCTATGAGGTCACCTCTGTTCTGCCTGTATTGGAGGGGATAGAGATTCAAGGAGGTCAGGCATTGCTCGTACGTGGAATTTTTGAGTTTATTAAGCGCCTTTGTAGAATGTCGCTGTACACCTTCAATAATATGTATATCCTTCCGAAGCCAAAACCGCCAAGCATATTCAAGATGCGACCGCACAGATTCCCCACATGCCTTACTGAAGACCTCTACGTTCAAGTTAACAAACGTTCTTCATATCGCGGTTATAATTGACATTGCTTACGCTGCGACTTTAGAACATTGTGTGGTGACGCTTAAGTCGACTTTAATGAATACACTAAGGTCTATTTGCAAATCTACGATTTCATTTGGTTGGTTTTCCAAGAGATACTGTCATGACGGTGCATCTATTCTTCGTCTTGTTGATATTATATGCATTGCTACATATTTTGTGATGCTGAATTTCATTAACCAGTTCCCGCTCTATGTTCGCAGATTCTCTACGTCCTCTTGCAGTATCTGGGCGTCTTCTTAATCTTTCATCACTCTCCACAGTCTAAGATCATCTGCAAAGGACGCTATATCCGACTTCGCTTCCCGAACTAGATCATTAACATAGATAATTAATAGGAACGACCGAAGTACTGAGTCTTGTGGGACTCCAATTTTAACAGGCGCGCATTGTGGGCGGTAGCCATTCGCAGTAAATTTTTGTCTAGGACTGTTTAAGAAAGCTTAAATCCAGTTAAGGAGATCTCCTCTTATCCCTACGTCTGACAACGTTTGAATCAGGCGCTCATGTGGAACGCAATCAAACGCCTTGCTGAAGTCAGAGTAAATAACGTCTATTCGATGTCTCCCATTCATAGCCTTGGACCAATGTTCGAGCAATGTAAGCAGATTTGTGAGACAGGACCTCTTTTTACAGAAACCATGTTGAACTGAACTGATATGACAGAGGAATCTATCGAGCGATGTGACTGATTTTTTTAACTATCATTTCCAGCGACTTACATAAAATGTAGACCTGACTGGCCGACCGGTAGCTGGTGGGATGTGGCCGCAATCCTCCCTTATGGATGGGTACGACACTTGCCAACTTCCATGTATCAGGAAGTTTACCAGCTTTGAGCGATTTTCGACAGATTATACAGAGTGGGAAAAGGCTCGGCAACGCGGTCCTATTGGGAAATAAGGAAACCCACGCGCGTTCAATATAGGATCCGTTTTAAAAGGGTCCTTAATGGTTGGGGTTGCGGAAAAATGGTGAAGAATGTGCAAAAACTAGGGGAAAAACGCAGGGATTATAGGTAAATATGCTAATTTGTATTTGTGGGTATTTAATCTCAAAGTAAACACTGCGCAAATCAAAAATTAACCGCAGCTAACCAGTAAAACCAATCCCACAAAGGACAAGGTTGATTGGCCCGTCAAGCTCATTGAAAATGAACCGCCCAAGAAGATGACCAGTCAGATGTAAACCGTAGGGAAAGTTGTGGGAAGAGGTGCCGAATGACTCCCTTACCATGAACATTAACACGAAACCTTGCCCCAAACCCGAACCCTGAGCCTAGACCAAAACCCTAACCTTAATCCCGAACCTTAACCCTAAGTCCTAACCTTAACCCTGAACCTAAACCCTGACCCTAAACCTGAAATCTTGACCGTAAAACCCGAACCATAGTCTCAGCAGTCCGCTAAGCACCTCAAATTAAAAGTATCCGCAGGTAGTACTACGCCTACTGAGACCAGTACTAGTGCGAAAGTGATCAATGCTGATCACCTATTAAAGGCTGAGTCGATAATTTCTACACTGCTTGTTGAGCTGCTTAGATTTGTACACTTGGCATATTACCAAAAAGTGTTAGCTAAAAAGTCCTCCAGGCCTTGCATTTTTGAAATTCTCATACAAACTCAACCATACACACAGTCTTCCCTATTCGGCCCTAGGCGACGTTTTTTCATCGGTTCCTGTGGCTTGCTCCATTTCCATAACTTCACGGCATGACTGAAGTACGCACTGACGTCCGAAAAGTAGGGTCCGAGTGTGGAGTCGATCCAGCGATCACCCCTTCCTTAGTCAATTGCGCTAACCTTCCCCCCCCCCCATCGCAGCTCGTCGGCGAGCGATATCACATAGTCTCCTTGACTTCATAGACGCAGAAAATTCAGGCCAAAATTGCAGTGGATGCCAGATTCTAGCCGTCAAGGCCAACTATCTTGAGGAAGAAATCACAAAGATGAAAGCCCAGTTGCGATGCAGTCTAGACCAAGCTAACGCTACCACTATGCCTACTGGACGGGTAACCAGAAGTAGGGCAAAAGCTCCCAGCATAATAGGTACGCCAGCACCTATTACAGCAGCCCCAGAACGAATAGTTAAAAGGCGAGAAAATAACGACCAGAAAGGAAACCCACAAGCTGAAGAGAAAAAGAAATCAAACTGTAAAAAAGCCAAGGAAAACGGACGGCTACTTCCGGAAGATGCCTCCGTAGAGGCCGAAACAGAGACGTTGACGGACGCTCCGTCCCTCATGGCAAATGCTGTGTGTCCAAAAACCTTTGCTGATTCTCCGAAACGGTCCGAGCTTGATAGACCTAGTACGAGCGGTGGAATCGGTTCATCCATCAGAGCCACAGAGTTCTATCCACAGTCTTCTCTGCCAAGCGCTTTTTCCAAGATTGTCAACATAAGAGTCAAACAAATAGACGGCGTAAGCGCATCTGCTCCACCATCACCAGCGCATAGTCCCAGAGCCTTACGTCATTTAGGGAACCACATTTCCGTAGAAAATATACAAGAGATCGACAGAGAAAAATGTCTTATTATTCAGGGGCTCCCTGAATCAAGTGCAAATACTCCCAAGGAGCGGGTCTCGGAAGACCTATCACTCTTCCAAGGTCTTCTCAATAATATTTTGGAACCCACTGAGGCTATTGAAGCGATCAAAGCCTTCCGCCTTGGAAAACGATCAGATAATCCATCAGTGTCGATTCGTCTTCGGCCTCCTAAAGTTGTGCTGACCAGCAGCGACCAAGCCAGTCTCATTCACTCCAGGTGATTCATAATTAAAGGTTCCAACCCAGGTGTTTTTTTTTTCAACCGGACTACTCGCCAGCGGAACGACTCAAATGTCGTCAGCTAGTTCTAGAACTAAGAAAGAGGCTCCACGAGGGGGAGAACAATTTATTTATATACAACAACCAAGTACGGTGGCGTCCGTCACTCTTCCTTTGGATCGGTCCGGTCCGAATGACCGCGCAGCCGACATATTAAGTGAAGGCGCTAACCAAAATGTAACCGCCTCTTCCGTCAGCCGGAAATTGAAATTCCTGTAAACCAACGTGCAGAGTTTGCTATCAAAGTTCGACGAGCTGAAGATCCACCTCTGCGATCTATCCCCTGACGTAATCTCTTTAACAGAAACCTGGTTGACCCAACACGTGGACGACCGTGAGTTGGCCTTGCCTGGCTACCGGATGTTTAGAAGGGATAGGGAAGGGCGTCAGGGAGGAGGCCTAATCACGTATGTGAATAATGGGATAAATGTATCAGACAAAGCCGATACATTTTCGTGCAGTTCCGAGTCAATGTGGCTGTCTATTAAAGTGCCGAGCTCGCCTAGCCTCAATGTCCTGACAATTTATCGACCGCCAAGACGGGACAACATGACCGAGGTTCGCCTGCTGAAGGAGCTCGAAAAGTTCGCTACGCGGCCGGATATCCTGATCATGGGAGACTTTAACGCGCCTCATATTGACTGGAGCTTGACCCATGCAAATAGCTCAGAACAGACTTTCGATAGGAGTTTTCTGAACACGGCACTGAAGTTATTTCTCACTCAACACGTCGTGTTACGAACTAGAGTACGCGAAGGCCAACAGGCCAACTGCCTTGATCTTGTCCTTACAAAGTCACAGGACAGCATTGATGAGGTGTCATGCCTACCCCCCTTAGGTATAAGTGACCACTCGTTCTTCTATGGAATTACTGGCTTTTTTCCATGCCCGAGAAACCCGTGACAGTTAGTAGAAACCTTTGGCGCGGGGATTTCGACCAAATGAGGGCTGAAATTTCAGGCATTGAGTGGAAGTCCGTATATGTTGGAAGCATACTCGAAGATTGGCAATGGTTCCGATAAATTCTGCACGAGTTGATCGTAAACCACTGTGCGCTTTCACGGAAGAGGTTAATTAACAGACCTCGATGGTTTACGCAAGCCTTGAAGAATAAAGTGAATAAAAACGAAGGCTGTGGAAAAATTCGCTTTCTGACAGGAGCCCCACATCTTTATGCGCGTACACAATTCAAAGAAATCGAGTCAAAGGCCTTATCCTCAAAAATAGAAGGGAATTCGAACGGGATCTGCTTAACCGTGCCGCGGAGAACTCTAAATTATTCTACGGTTACATAAGGCAGTGCCCGCGGAACAAGGATCCAATACCACCGCTAAAGACTGCTGAAGGTGAACATCTCACTGAAGACAGAGCGAAAGCTGATCACCTTTCAGAATTTTTTCGGTCTGTTTTTAGTAGCGAAACAGGATTCAACCCTTCGACCCTTTAACCCTTCGAAGGCACCACAATTATGGAGACCGTTCAGTTCACTGAGGGTATGTTTCTGACGGAGTTGCTGAGGCTAAAGGAATCCAAATCACCAGGTCCCGATGAGATCCCGGCGAAGATTTTGAAGGAACTCGCCGGTGAGTTGGCTGAGCCACTCTCCATGCTTTTCCATACATCCTTCGAGACCGGATATCTGCCACCCGACTGGAAGTCGGCGTGGATTACGCCGCTATCCAAGGGCAGTCGGGTCTCTGCGAACAATTACAGACCTGTCAGCCAAACCTCCATTTGCTGTAGGATTATGGAGAAGATAATAAAGCAACAATTAATGCAGTCCATTGAACAAAACCATCTACTTTCTGATTCCCAGCATGGATTCCGCAAAAGCAGATCCTGTGTGACAAACTTGCTCTACTGTCTGGAACACTGGACTAAGGCTGTTGATAGAGGAGATATGGTGCATGCCATCTATATCGACTTTAAAAAGGCCTTCGACAGTGTGCCTCACCACCGTCTTCTATAAAAACTCAGCCGTGCAGGGGTGCGAGGTAAGCTTCTAATGTGGATTCGAAGCTTTTTATTCGGCCGCTCTCAAGCCGTCCACCTCAGTGACCAGCAATCTGTCGAGGTTGCCGTTAGGAGTAGTGTTCCCCAAGGCTCTGTTCTTGGTCCCACACTGTTCCTCGTACACGTCAACGACTGCGCAAACGAACTGGATTGCGATGTCGCAATGTTTGCCGATTACATAAAGATCTGGAGTACCATACGAAGCGAAGTTGACGAGGCGCGACTGTAGACAAATCTGGACCACCTCGAGAAATGGTCGAAAGACTGACTTCTACCGTTCAACGTAAACAAGTGTAACTTCCTACGCGCCGGCGGAACCAGTTCCCTAATCGCACGGTCTACCGTCTGACTGGCGAACCACTGCAAGAAATCGACGCCCAAAAAGGACTTGGGTGTATGGATCACAACCTCGCTTAAGCCTTCGCTGCAATGTTCAAAGGTGGCCAAGTCGGCGGTGTCCATTCTATACCTCGCCAAACGGGCGTTCTCCTCCCTTGATGAAGACTGCTTCGCCAAGGTCTTTCAAACTTTCGTGCGACCGCATCTGGAGTTTGCTATCCAAGCATGGAGACCCTTGACCGCTAAAGATTTCGGCATACTCGAAAAAGTTCAACGGCGAGCAACGAAACTCGTATCTGTGCCGTGGTCGCTACCCTACGAAAACTTATTAGCTAATAGTGACCTCTTTCCATTGAATTACAGACAGCTACGTGGGGGACCTGATACCAGCTTTTCGCATCGTGCGCAATCAGGACTGCTGCCTCGCATCTGGAGACTTCTTCGAGTTGGCTACTATGACTAACCTGAGAGTCCATCCACTCAAACTGCGTGTGACTGGTGCCCGGCTAGACACACGAAAGTTCTCCTTCTCCAACAGAGTGGTTGCAGCTTGGGATGCGTCGCCTGAGGATGTCATTATGTCGTGATCCGTAGATGCTTTTAAACGGAGGCTAGATCAACAGTGGAGCGCGCACCACAATAACGCTGGACTAAGGCCACCTTGATAGCCAACGTTGACAACTTAGTGTTATGACGATGCTATTACCAACATTCAAGTAACATATGTTTATGTAATTTATTAATTTTGGACCACGTCGCACACCGCTACTCGCATTCACCACGATGCCTGTAGACTAGAAAATTTTACTTCTTTTCCTGTATCTTAAGTGTGCTTCAACTGTCTGCAGCATTTACTCAACAAACCGAGTTCATGTGCCTCTAAATTCTGTTAACGCATGTCATTCTGTGTTCATCTGTACAGTTTTGTTATTCCCCTTGTATTTCTTTTATGTTACTTCCTTTCCATTTTCTCAATATACTTCTTCTGCATGTAACCAATAGGGAGTCCAAAGGTACACTCCTACTTTCCCTGAAATACACTGATACCTACTGAAATCAACAATAGTACGAAAGCGATAATTTGTTGACCAAACAGGACAGCGTGTCCGAGCCCCATCCAGAGTGGTTCTGCTAATTCTTTGGCTAATTGGCGTAGGGGTACACCTGGGATCTCATCTAGTAAAGACGACTTGGTCGGATCCAACTTGTTTAACTGGTAAAACTAGCTGCGGTGTAAACAGTACTGTGTTTGTAAGTTGGTCGTTGACAAACTGTGGCAGAGAACACGACTTGAGGAGTGATTCAGTGGCATAGACACTTTAGAAAAATTCTGAAAAAAGCTCGGTTTTTTGAAAGCCACTGCCCACAGTGTGGTTATTTTTGCTGTTAAAGGATGGAATATGGTCATAGTCTTCTATATTTCTCCTGATGTATGCATAAGATTCTTTAGGTTTTTGCTGTGCCTCTTCCAGGGGCTTCAGTTCAGAAGAAGCACGTACCTCACGGAGGAATCTCTTGCATATGTTGCATTGTCGTCTAAATTCTTGAAGTTTTTCTGGACCCCCCGTTTGTAAGAAGATTTTCCACAGCTTGCTCTTTTCTCAGATCTCTTTCTTAACCGCCGTTGTCAGTCGTTTCGGTCTGTTTCCGGTCGGATGTTTCTTGAGAGAACAGTGTCGTTCAATCGAGTTTATCATAGTTAACTCGAAGGTTCTCCAACATTCGTTAACATCTTTTCGTAATGCTTCCGTCCACAGCGTGTGTCCAGTCTTCGCTTCCATTGCCTCAGAGTTATCTCATCAGACATTTCTTAACGATTTTGAGCTTCGAGTGCTGATTTCCACATTAATGCCATGTGATCACAGGAACCTAGGTGCGGGCCCACATTTACTTCATCAACACTTTATTCACTCTTGGCAAACAGAAGATCCAGGAAACTAGCTCTCTGACCCTCACACGTCTGAGTCACTGTTCGTACGTGCTGAAACAGGAATTCATCAAGCGCCATGTCTACTAGCATTTAGTCGAATCCTCGTCTGCGGCTCTTAAGTGTCATAAGGTCCCAGCTAGTCCGCGGACCTTTGAAGTCTTCACAATAGTAAGGTTTTGTTTTCAACAGTCCTCGCGGAGTCGAGTGATCAACACTTGATCTTCGTCGGCAGGTTGATTTGGAAGCCTATATACAACGGTGACAGTAATATTTTTAGCCATAGGAGCCAAACAATGACATTGCAGTATTTCCAGGTCGTGCTCACTTAGTTGGCGTCTGATAATCTCCGATACCGTACAACCCCTTCCTTCTTGACGGTCGAGAGTTTGTCAAAAGCTCCCACAAATTTTGGATGTTGAATCCACTGATCGACTCTAACGTAGCGATGACGTTTGTGGTCTCTGACCACTATGGCCGGTCTCACCAGGCACAATTTCTTTGGCCAACAGCGACAGCTGTTCTTTGGCGTCTCTGTATGGACTAGCCCCAACTTCATGAAAGAAATTGGCGACTGATAATATCCGATACCGTGCAACCCCTCCCTTCTTGACGGTCGAAAGTTTGCCGCCAGCAGTTTTTTTTCTCCTGAACACTCCAAACCATAAACCACCATCAACTATATTTTTATTCCCTTTTCACAGGAGTTTTTTTCACTGCTGGCCGGATTTGTGTTTAACGCTTCCCTGACAATGCCTGCAAACTGGCATTAAATAAAAATTATTATATACTTCAACAGGGTTATATTTGACTGCATTGCTGATATACAGAGCAGCTCCTCCACCACCTCTTCTTTTGGTTCGGTTGCGTCTTAACATCATATAATCATCTAATTGCATTTTGGAGTTTTTGGCATCCGGGATGATTCACGTCTTAGTTAATGTAATAACGCCAGGACGTAATTCGGCCAAAATTATTTTGAGTTCATCTAGTTAATTCAAGAGGCTATTTACATCTTCGTAAAAGAATTAAATTTTGTGTAGATTTTAGCGTCAAATTAGTTGCCCGGTCGTACATCTTTTGTCAGTATGACGAGCGTTCTCCACAGAATGGGTTTTTGCTGTTAAACAATCACTCCATTCATTATTATCAGTCCTTCTCTTCCTGTTCTTTCGAGGTCTCCAGGTCCGCCTTCAGCGTCCTCCATTTCATTCTCTCTTGTACGAAGTAGTCTGCTTGGAGAAAAATACCTTTATGACTGGAGACTCCCTCTGCCGTTCACTCGAGTAGGAGATCCATCTGAAGTTTACTTTAAAAAACTATCTTTAAAGGCCTTGATTTCTTCCCCTCAGAGCTTGCGTCACTATTTCCTGTTTAGCAGAAAAGTTTCAGAATCTTAATGGCTTCATTTTTTTAAAATGTCACTCAGGCCCTCTTGCAAGGTCATGATACCATCACTTATTCCACATCTAGGATTAACGCTGATTGATTAACGAAGTCCATGGATGATTATGCATTATGATCTGTCCCCATCACCTCCGTTCAAGGAGTTTTGTTAAATAATTGGTCTGGCAGATGTTGGGGCTTTCCCAATTCGGGCTTCAACGCTACTGACATGAGGGTTCGTGAATCTGTACTTCCACTATGGGTGGACTTCTATATGGCCTGATGTTGGTCCCCTATCAGCGCCATACTACTGAAGTATGGCGCTTGAGTAGTATGTTTTACTGCGCATCGCAATATTGAGTAGAACAGTGTGAATATAAAAAGGTTTTAATGGCAGAGGGGCGCTCACCGATCGTTCTTATGGAACTCACTCGTTCCGTTTTGCCTTATGGGCTCTCGCTCGAGCCCAACCAACCGCATGATACAGGCAGAGTGCTAGTACCGACAAAGACAAGGGAGACTGGAATGGCCATTTCTGGCTTATTAGCCGTTGTCAGCCAGTCATGCCCAATCCCGAAGTGGGGAACACCTGGGGCTCGAACTCGCGACCTGTTAGTTAGAAGTCCACGCCTCAAACCACTGGGCAGCAGGCCCGTTGTCCTGTCGGTTTCTGCCTATATCATGCGCAGCTGTGCGACTGTTGGTTGGGCTCAAGGGAGAGGCCATAAGGCACAACGGAACGAGTGAGTTCAGGAAGAACAATCGGTGAGCGCCCCTCTACCATTGTTTATTCCCGATCGAAACCGACAGGACAACGGGCCTGTTGCCCAGTGGTTTGAGGCGTGGACTTCTAACTAACAGGTCGCGAGTTCGAGCCCCAGGTGTTCCCCACTTCGGGATTGGGCATGACTGGCTGACAACGGCTAATAAGCCAGAAATGGCCATTCCAGTCTCCCTTGTCTTTGCCGGTAATAACATTCTGCCTAAAGGTCTTAATGATGAAAAGAAAGGCATAACTACAGTGTCATCAGACGGAGACATCGTCGAGTAAGATGCGGCTGTGGTGGTGCAGACGTGAAGCTGAAAGTAGATTAGAACTACTCAAGGCAATTATTTTAACTTCCCAGTGGTCGCCCGATGACTAGCTCTACCACCATATCTGTCTCCCGCCCCATGCAACCAGTCAGTTGCGCTCTTGCGAACCACGTCTACAGTGCAATCAGAGAATGTGGCGTTTCCACCAATTGTAACCGAACAAGCCAGATTAAATATTTGACATACCATTGAGGAGACCATAAAAGGGA